TCATACATCTCATTCCATGCCTGTACTATTTCATCAATCTTGAACCCCATACCTGCAGTTTTTGTTTCATAACTGTTATTTCACTACAACAAAAAGAAAACACGACACAAAACCACTGGCTTGAAAGTTCTCCAGAGTTTGGTATTCTTGCCAAGAACTGATTACCTTCGAGTGCACTCTCGTTAGAACAATGGTTTTTTACCATCACAGCTATATCAGTTGCAGAAGCTCCAGCTAGTTCAAATTTCTCAACTGAAACCTCTAAACATTCATCCCAAGTAGGTAGCCCAAGCTTATACTCCACAATAGACCGTTCATACAGCAAGGAACCCCACAAGAGATTGATCTGGGAGCTCATATTAGCTGTCTGCTCCACAGTTTCTTCGTCTGAAGCATCGCTAAACAATCCATCCAACTCCATCTTCCGCAATAGTGTTTTCTGTTGATCGAACTTGGAGATTCCATTTAGACGACGTTCTTCCATCTCTTCCCAAATCTGCATACCCCTCTCCATGCTATCCTCAGCTTTGTTATACAGCTTAAGGACCTCCTGGGAAACCTCACTTTCTAGGTCTACCTTGCTTTTGAGTGCATGATACCAGCAAAGCTTTGCCTGTTCAAACTGCTCTTGCCCAAGTGCAAGAAGAGCTTCGTAAAAATCAGGTTTAACCTTAATCGCTTCTTCATATTTCTCTGCAGCTTTCTTATACTCATTCTGCGTCCACACAAATGCAGCCTCAACCGCTTCTATAATAGCTTCTCTCGAAGCATCTTCAGGAAAACAGACTTGTTTCCTTGCCTTAGACATGTGAACGTTACCCCAGTTAAACATAGCCAGTGCAGCCATTTCTTGGAACTTATCAGCTGCTATTTCAAAGAGTTGTTGAGCATCTTCACCAGTTACAGCATCCTCCATCGCTTCTGTATACAGCTTCATCCCAAGGTCATGTAGGTCCAAGTACGAATCAGAATCAAACCCGACATGATTCTTGAACAGCTGAGCAAACTGGTAAATCCAGTTCTCGAAATACATAGATACTTTGTCAGATTCCACATACTCTCCAACACTTCCATTATCCGCAACACTGCTCAATCTCTTGACAACCTTTTCAGTTGTTTCAGAATTGCTCATGCCATCATAAGTTGGTTCTTGGTCGGGGTTAACTTCTGCTATATATAATCTAAGGGAGCCAAGTTTATCACGAGTAGAAGCAGCAAGCCTCAGCTCATCAGTCGTGGTAATGGTAACCAAATCACCCTCTGGATCCCTATATTTAATGAGGAAACCCCTTAGAGCAGGAAACCGATCCCTGATTACATCTCTTACAAGTCTAACACTAGAATCTAGCGGCAGTTGTGCCCACCTTATATCATCTCCATGTACCAACTTAACCGTCCTAGTAACCGTCGCCTCTTCTTTTGTGCTTCCTCCTCCTCCAACAATCTCAGACGCAATGACCTCTTTGTCCATGACAACAACCTTATCCTCCAC